AGATGTAAAACCAACCTGGATACCGATCAACAGATTAATGGGTAAAGAAAAGGCTGTAGCATGCAGAAACAATGGAGTGAACTCAGCCATAAAAAGTGAACTTATGTCACAAGCAACAAGTGAATAGAACTGGAAATCATGTTGAGTGAAATAAGCTGGACCCAGAAAGACAAACATCCCACGTTCTCGCTTAATGTGGAATGCAAAAAAAGATGACAAGAAAAAAGAATGGAGACTATTATTAGACAAGAAAAATGAATAAAGAAGAGGTGGCAGAGAAAGAGTTCAAAAGAAGGTGAAGAGAGGATGCTTGGGACCAAATACATGCATTGGAACCCAATTTTTGTAAAATTGATAGGCATTAATAAAGAAGCAATGAAAATAATTTTTATAGAACTACCATATAGGCCTTATTCATTGTTTTAAAAAGTAAAGAGGAGCTGAATCAATTTTGGCTAAGCTCACTCTTCATACTTTATAATTTGTGATTATGATTAACTCCTAGCCCAGAGAGAAAAGGCATCAATCTTTCCGGCAGAACCTACACAGTGAAAACCACCAACTCCAAGTGAATCGTACTAACTCTAATAAGGCTCTTCTTGCTTACATCATTGCATGGTGGAATGTCAAAAGAGACAGCGTGAGAGAGGAGAATAACTCCATCTTTTTATCAGAAACCTACTTCCCTTGATAACTAAACCTACTCCCATGAAAGTGGTGATAATCCATCGATAGCAAAAGTGCTCATGACTGACTCACCTCAGAGTTCCACCTCTCAGCACTACTGTCCTAGTAGCTGGATGTCCATAAGAGTTTTGGAGGCCATACTCAAACATTGTTGAAGGGGATTAGGAAACAGTCGAGGATATAGGCATGATTAGTCCACAACATTGAGAATATAATTGGTGCTACATAATTGTATACTTCAAAGTGATTAAAATCCGGTACTCTTTTAAGGTATCTATTTGTGTTAACTATATCAGTTTCTCACTGTAGATGTTTCCCTCTGCTAAAAGTACAATCTCACCATAAACTATGATATCAGTTAAAGGGTATGGATATTTTATTTTGTTAATTAGTTTATGATAATTATTTTACAAAGTATATTTATATCAATTGTATACCTTAAATATATATATAATTTTTATACATCCATGATGTTTCAGTAAGATTTTTTAAATTACTATTAGGAAGTAAAAAGAAAGGAAAATTGAATTTTGATTCTTAAGGCCTTGTCATCAGAACCTTATGTTTTGTGCACCCATTGCCCTAAAAGCACTTATAGTTTCTCTCTAGTAAATTTTCATGTAACAATTGTGCATTTAGGTAATTTCTTTACAAATCACTTTTGGTGCTTTCTACCTCAAAAGACATGTTGTGCTGAGGGAAAAATTAAGTTGGTAATATATTCATTGAAGAAAATTTTTTCATAAAATAGTTTCACAAGTCAGGTTTAAGAAAGTACACTTAAAGGGTTGGGGATTTAGCTCAGCAGCATAAGCACTTGCCTGGCAGGTAGGAGGTCATGATTTCTATTCCCAGTACAAAAAAAAAAAAAAGAAAGTATACTTAGATTTCATGATATCTATCTAGTAGATACTAGTGGATTAAATGTGTTATTACTGCATTGCATCTCAAGAACCTGGCACAGTGCCTATTGATGAATACTGAGAAGCCCCATTAATGAATGTATGTACTTATAGAAAGGTAAATAGAGAAATTATATATAATTTATAAATTAACATAGGGTATGTCTTGAAAATAGGGCCATTTACTGTGAAAATATGATATGTAGTTGAATTTCTATGGTGGGGATCTATAATATTACCTTTCTTAAGAAGAACATAAAATGAATATCCATAATGAAAAATCACTTCAGTAGAAGTACATTTTTCATTTTAGTAGATAAAAAGTTTTATATACTGTAAGAGTGACACTATTCCATAAACTTTTTATATTGTTATCATTTGTGTGTACTGTGCCAGTTAATCATCACACAAGCATCTCAATGGAGAGCCTATCCTCATTTTTCAGATTCAAATACTGAATCTCACATTTAAAAAATTGTGAGGTCACTTATGTGGAGTGGAGCTAACAAAGAGTCCACGTGTTGAGACCTTAGCTCCACAGTTTCTGTTAACCACCGTGTTCTAAAGGTAGCTCTTCATGTTCCATAAAGACTTTTAAGTGTGTAATTAGGAGTTAGGAAAATTGATGCACCTTGAGACCATATTGTTAAATAAAATAAATTACACACTGAAGCTTAAATATCACATGGTTGCTCTTATCGGAGAGACCCAAATTATAAACAAAGAACAAAATAAGACAATACAATGTAAGGAGATAGATCTTGGAGTCTCTGGTACAGAAACTTAAGGGACAGGTTGGGAAATGGGAGGCTGGGAGTGGCAGACAAACCAAATTATAATTGTAGTTCTAAAGTTATTTACACAAATCATAAAGCTATATAATTGTTGTGTGAATGTATGACTGACCCCAAAAGGTAGAGGAAGCAGTCCAGCGGAATGTAGTGGAGTCCAAAACCTTCATTGGCTGAAACCTTGGACTTTATATTCAGCTCTTGTGCCCTGGTCTTAGCTTAGCAGTGATCAGTCTTATAAACCTAGAGGTTTATGTAACTCCTCTAAAATTCAATTTAGAAACTGGCAGAATGTGAATAATGAGTCAAGAGGATTATAATATTTGTAAGCTACCTGGACTTAATATGTGGTAAAAGTAGATATTAAAACCTTTTAAAAGTAATTTTTATATCTAGGTACATGCAGTGAATTAAAACACTTAACTGCCCTCCCTCCATGTCTTTCCCCTTCTTAATGAAAGAGACTGAGAGCAGGAGAGAACAGCGGTTGAATCTTACTTAATAGTGCTGTGAAAAGAACAGAATTGGAAGCGTATTAGTGAAACTGAGGTCTTAACTCTTACTGCTTTTTATCCTGTAACTGGTATTTAATATAGGTAATAGCCCCATAGTATTGGCATCATATTTAGCTATTAGGTGATTACTATTTCTGATAATATGTATATAGAATATGATTATGTCTGAAATGATTTATGAAAGACTTAGTAAGTTCTAAGTCTCAAATTTTGCATCTGAAAATGAGAAGAATGTGGAAAAGTATAGCAGTTTATGGTTAGAATTTAAGGTAGTACTACTTACTGTAAAGTATTTGTAACAGTGTCTGGTACGTTAAAAATGTTTTATAAAAATGGTTGTCTATATGAATGAGCCAGTCCTGTAACCCAGTTGTATTTTTTCAAGCACGTCTACTATTTCATTCAGGGTGTAAGTGGACTGTTTCTTTGGAATGATAATTTCAGGTTCATTCTTGTGTAAATAAGATAAAAAATGTCTTGTGTTGCCACATACAGTCAGATTAATAATTATCTTTCAAGAATGAATTTTCCAAAAATTACTTTGTCATTTTAGCTAATGTACACTGTTAATGCTTACCATCATGTTGGGCCATTGATGAAACTTGGCCAATTTATAGTTTTAATTAATGATTTCCATTATTTTCGCTTGGTGTCATAATAGTTCTTTTCAAGAAAAAAATATTTCTAAGTTATTTCTTTGAAAATTTTATTCTTTTTATATTCTAGTAATTATTATTTGTGTTATAGTTATGCTTTTCAATCCTAAAATGACCATTTTGATCATATTATATCATTAAGTCTTAATTATTTGCCTGTTATAGTATCTTCATCCACTTTAAATACCTGAACTACTATTTCTGATTCTATAAAATTCTGTATACAGCTTGATTTACATAGAATACAGAGTTAAAGTCTTGGTTATTATTTACACAACCTACTCATTTGTTAGCCGCCTTTCAAAACTCAAGTGGTACAAATTCTGCGTCACATCATGATTTGTATCATAGTTTGGATTTGTTTTTAAGGAAAAACCACATCTTTCATGTGATTTTTCTTATTACTCTTGAAAAACAGATGAATTGTAACATAATTAAAAGCAGGAATAATAAATTTTTAAAACTGTACTTGTACTTTTCATCGCTTACTTTCAGGATAGATTGCTTCCCTGAAAAAATATTTTAAATCAGATCAACTTCGAAAGATATAAATCTGTTTTAAAATACAGCATATTAGAGTGAGTTCATATTTGAAGGAGGCTTAGATAGTTCTAGCATTCTAAATCTAAGAAAATATCTTAATGGCTTTTATTAACTGAATGAAAAAAAACCTATGTGACTGGTGTTACATTTCTTAGGTTTTCTTCCCCCCATCAGAGCATGGTTCCAGAACAATATCTGCCTTGTCCTTATTGGAGATACTAAAACTATAAAGGTCTAATTTCCTTGGCTCCACTTGGGCCTTCCATATGTTTGCTTTAATGTGTGTTTTTTTATCAGCATATTGGAATAAAAAATAAATGAGCCCAATACCCTTTATCACTAACTATTATGTAATATTACTTTGAGTTTATAGATTCATTTTGGGACAAGATGAACTAATATTTCAATGTCTTCAACAGTGCTTTCTTAGAAACAATTTGTCATACTAGTTGATTATCAAACAAACATTTTTTTCTTAGTTATGATTTGATCACTTCTCTCTTAGCTAATAATTATTCCAGGGGCCAGAGATTTAGCTCTGTGGCATAAGCAAATGCCTAACAAGTACAAGGTCATGATTTTCATCCTTGGTACAAAAAAAAAAAAAACTATTCCAAATTTAATTTTGGAGGAATTGTCATTTTCTGATTAATTTTCCAGTGGTATACTTATTCTTAAGATAGATGTCCATTGTATCTCTTTTGCTAAATTCAGGGGACTAAAATATATCTGTGGTGATTGGAAAGAGAGGAGTTCACTATTGTTGGTCCCTACATTTTAATGAAAACTTCATAAAGATTATTTCCTCAAATGTTTACTTCAAGACTTTTGGGAAAGTGAATGTTGTCAGCTGTTTTCTATGTTGTGTTAGAGCCATAATCATTATTCACTTATCTTCCCTTATAGCATCAGAGGCTCCTTGAAATGCTAGATACAGAAAAAGAACTGTTAAAAGAAAAAATAAAGGAAGCTTTGATTCAGCAATCTCAAGAACAGAAGGTAATATGAGAATGTGCTTAGGGTGGACGCATGGATTCTGTTACCTCAAGCAATATTTTTACTGTCTTTTTAAATACCTTATCATTTACAGGAAATATTGGGAAAATGTTTGGAAGAAGAAAGGCAAAAATATAAGGAAGCATTAGAATCTGCTGCAAAGGTATTTCTATATGCAATAATGGGTTCTTTTATAAGTAGAATTAAATACTGAGTTCATTAATATTGTCAGTCTACTTTTATATAAACTCAATAGAAAAAATAAAGGAAGTCTTGATTCACAACCTCAAGAATAGAAGGTAATACTTGACATGTGCTCATTGTGGATGCATATCTTTAGACTCATTAAATATACACATATATCACTAATTTTTAAATTATGAATTAGAATTAAACTTAGTTAAAAAAACATTGAATATCTGCTTTGTATGTTGAGACAACAAAGACTAGAAGCAAGGAAAAAAATAATAGGTTGCTTCTGAAAGCTGGGCAAGAGAAGTGAGTTGTAGAAATAGACTAATGTTGGTAAGTGTAAATGAAAGAAATAGGCACATTCTAGAAATGGAAAATGAACTGAACATATATATATATATACTGTGAATGATATACAAAAAAATTAATGGTGAGGCGTTTGAGATAGTTAAAACAAAAATTAAAATCTCGAAAATCTGTATCTGCTTTTAGTACTTAAAGACTTTAATGATGAGATTGATGATAATAACAAGTTTATTTTTGTGTTATGATATTACTATCAGAAGATATATATCCCAATGAATCAGTCTTTACCAAACAACAAATATTTTAAAAATGTTTATTGATAAAGCAAAGTACAGTAAATGATTACAGTGTAACAGAGGATGAAATTTTCATTTGAAATAATTTTCATTTCAACCAACCTTTGAATACTACCCTCTATCAGATTTTGATATGAAATCACCACAGTTCTCTAAATTGACTTCCAAGTATTTCTTCCTTTGTAAAGCTATGTATCTATGTAGGCCTTTTTTCCTATACTTCAACCAAAACTCTATCATTGCAGATTTAATATAAAAAGTAGATATAATAATATAGCTGTCTTCTACCAAGACAGATATTAAAAAGGTTTATATATGTGCAACATTACAATTTTTACCTTTTAAATATTAGAAATTATAGTCATTTGTCATAATTTATTATTTGTCATGATATTATAAGATATTACATAATATATTGTCATGATTATATATTCATAATATATTATTTGTCATGATTATATATTACATAATACATATCATACATATAAAATATATGATATAAGGAATTTCAGAACTATCTTGCATAGGATCTGCATATTATATATGATTATATCTAATATATAATATATATTATGTAATATACTTAATAACATACGTATACATAAATACTTGATTTGAATGTGTAATATAGTAAGTAGTAATACGTTCTACCGACATCAACCAAAGCTCTTTGACCTACCCAACATTGTAAAAAGATCCTAATACCACGTCTTGGAATCTGCCACTTTAAGCTAACGTACTGATTTCCTTGAAGTACAGCAATGCCATGGAGATAAGTGAGAATACGTTTTTAAAAAGGGTCAATATTTTATGTAATTATTTCATATGCAGAGAAATAAATTTCAGAACTATCTTGCATAAGGTCTATATAGTTTGTGTCTAAGTTAATCAGATTTACTTATTGTATCATCACTCGAGCATTTATATTTCAACTATTATTTGTTTTGAAGTTAGAGCAAGAAGCAGTGAAGGATATAGTTATGAAAGCCATTGAAGAAGAAAGAAAGAACTTGGAGAAAGCACATGCAGAAGAAAGGGAATTATGGAAAGCAGAACATGCAAAAGACCAAGCAAAAGTATCTCAGGCCATTGAAACAGCGATACAGGAACAGAGGAAAATCAGTCAGGTCAGTTAAATTAGTTTGTTGTAAACTTGTTTTTCTTATTTGTCTCAAAGTGAAGTGGCCTTATGATTACTTTATCTTAAATTAGTGGGCATAGCATTATTTAATTTTTAAATCTTTGATACTGATATCTTAACTAATAATTGTTAGTACTTCAATGTGTTTTCATCTGATACTAATATCCTATAATACATTTTACTTCTCTACTTTGCTTAGAATCCACATTTGTTTTGTGCTGCATTAATTTTTCTGCCCTGTGCATTGTTATGCTTCACATTCCCAGTACACACAAACAGAAGCATTGAAAAGTGACACATTTGACTGGCATCTCTGCGTGTCTGGAGGACTCTGGGTTTCTGCGCCCAGACTGCTGGAGTTCCCTCAGGCTTCCAGGTGCAGTGAAGGAGAGAGGTGGGTTTGAGGCTTCCACGTCAGCCTCCCCATTCCCGGCTTCATTTGGAGACCTGCTGAGCTCCCGATAGGTGGGCTGGCCCACACTACCAGCCTAGCCCAGCCTGTTTAGCTGCCGCGCCTGGCCATAGGTCTGCAGAGGAGGAGCTGGGCAGATCTGGGGTGCCCTCACCGGCCTCTCTGCGTGTCTGGAGGACTGTGGATATCTCTGCAACCAGGGAGGGTCCACAGGTTCCTGAAGCACTGCGGCCTGTGGTGAGTACCCTAACCCGGCTGCGATTGAAGAACTGTGGAGCTTCCAAGGGGCAGGTGGGCGCACAGTGTCCCTGAGGCCCAGCTTGTCTGGAACTGCGGAGTTCTGAGCAGGCAGAGGAGGGCCACTGGTTCTGTAGGCCTAATGGTTTGGAGTAGCGCGGCGCCAGAGTCCCAGTAGCTCCAAACATAGAAGGGGATTTTCAACAGATCCTGAGGAAGCTTTCAAATAACACTTGAAACACAGAAATATAGGAAAATGACAAAACAAAAGACCAAATTACAACCTCAAACCTCCAGCCCATCTCAAGAAACCCTAGGAGCGATGTATATAGAAGAAAATATATCCCATTCACCTCATATATCGGACACAATAGCCACTGAAATTGACAAGCAACTCCAGGAAGCTTTAAAGAAATTCAAACTCGAAATAATCTCCCAGATAAAAGAAGAAATGATAAAAGAAATGAAAGAGATTCTAAATATATCTAAAGAAAACACAGATAAAAAATTGGAGGAACTAAACAAAAAGATAGAATCCCTAGACGAGCAATATAAGAAACAAACAATACATAATGCAGATGCACAGAGATATACAGGAAATAAAAAACTCCACTGAAAGTTGTAAAAACCGCCTTAATGAAAGTGAAGATAGAATTTCAGACCTTGAAGACAGGATTGCAGCTAGTGAACAGGAAAGGAAAGATCTTTTGAAAATAACAAGGAACCAGGAAACAACAATTCAACAACTGCAAGACGATGCAAAGAAGAATAACATAAGAATGATAGGGATTAATGAAAGAGAGGGAGACAACATGAAGGATGTCAGGAGGATATTTAGAGAAGTAATAGCTGAAAATTTCCCAAGCATGAGATCAGAAACTGACATCAGGATCAGTGAAGCATATAGAACTCCAAACAGTCATAACCAAAATAAAACTACACCCAGACATATAATAGTCACCATCCCAGAAATCCAACACAAGAATAGATTATTAAAAGCTGTCAGAGAGAAAAGACAAATCACTTATAAAGGAAAACCTATCAGAATCACAGCAGACTTCTCAGCACAAACGATAAAGTCAAGAAGAGCATGGAGTGAAGTATTCCAGATCCTAAAGCAAAATGATTTCCAACCAAGACTGATATATCCTGCAAAACTATCATTCAAAATAGATGGTGCAATACGATACTTCCATGACAAAGAACAGCTGAAGAACTTCATGAACACCAAACCAACCCTGCAAAAAATATTGAAAGACAGTTTAGATACACAAAGGAAAAAACCACTAAGCAAAGCAAATAATTAAACAGAACCGAAAGATAAAGATGCAACAGCAGAGAGATAACATTCCTACAATTAACCAGCATTTAACAGTAATAACCATTAATGTAAATGGTCTCAATGCACCAATCAAAAGAAACAGACTAGCAGAATGGATCAAGAAACAAAATCCAACCATATGCTGTTTACAGGAAACCCATCTAACCCAGAAAGATACTCACAGACTGAAAGTCAAAGGATGGAAAACAATTCTTCATGCAGCAGGAATCCAAAAAAAGGCAGGAGTAGCCATTCTGTTTGCAGACAACGTGAACTTTAAACCAACAATGACCATAAAGGACAAAGAAGGTCACTACATACTCGTAAGGGGAAAACTCCAAGAGGAAGAGATAACTATCTTAAATATATATGCACCAAACTCCAGAGCACCCAGTTATATAAAACAATTATTAACAGAAATGAAAACTCAAATTATCAGTAACACAATTGTAACAGGAGACCTTAATACACCACTGACACCAAGGGACAGATCAACCAGACAGAAAATGAGCAAAGAAATAACAGAACTGAATCACACCTGTGAACAAATGGGTTTGATAGACATATACAGAATGTTCCACCCAACAACATCAGAATACACATTCTTCTCAGCAGTACATGGATCATTTTCTAAAATAGACCATATATTAGCTCACAGAACATATTTAAGCAAATGCAAAAGAGTTGAAATCATCCCTTGCATATTATCGGATCATAGCGCTCTGAAATTAGAAATTAATGACAAAGGATACTGCAAAAATTCCGCAAACACATGGAAACTAAATAACACACTCTTGAGTAATCAGTGGGTCACAGAAGAAATTAAAGAAGAAATTAAACAATACCTAAAAGAAAATGAAAATGCAGATACAACTTACCGGAATCTGTGGGATGCAATGAAAGCCGTTCTGAGAGGACAATTTATTGCACTGAGTTCCCACATCAGGAAAACAGAACGAATACAAATAAATAACTTGATGCTACACCTCAAACAGCTAGAAAAAGAAGAGCAAGTCAAGCCCAAAGCCAAAAGAAGAGAGGAAATTATAAAAATCAGAGCAGAAATCAATGCAATAGAGACTAAGAAAACAATCCAAAGAATCAACGAATCAAAGAGTTGGTTCTTTGAAAGAATAAATAAAATCGATAAGCCCCTAGCCAACCTTATTAAAAAAAGGAAAGAAAAAGCTCAAATTCATGCAATAAGAAATGAAAAAGGAGAAATCACTACAGACCCAATAGAAATACAGAGGATCATCAACACCTATTTCGAAAACCTCTACTCTCAAAAGTTTGATAACACAGAAGAAATAGACAGATTCTTAGAAGCATATGAAGTACCAAAGCTAGATCAAGAGGATATAAAACTGTTGAATAACCCAATCTCTGCTAATGAAATTGAGAATGTAATTGGGTCCTTGCCCACCAAGAAGAGCCCAGGCCCAGATGGATTCACTGCAGAATTCTACAAGAAATATAAAGAAGACCTAATGCCGACACTCCTCAAACTATTCAATGAAATTGAAAGGGAAGCAATCCTTCCTAAGTCATTCCTGGAAGCAAATATTACTCTAGTACCAAAACCTGAGAAAGACCCAACTATAAAAGAGAACTATAGACCGATCTCCCTAATGAACACAGATGCAAAAATCCTCAATAAAATATTGGCAAATAGGATCCAGCAAATCATCAAGAAGATTATACACCATGACCAGGTGGGATTCATCCCAGGAATGCAAGGATGGTTCAACATACGCAAATCAATAAATGTAATCCACCATATCAATAAAGCCAAAAATAAGAATCACATGATCATCTCTATAGATGCAGAAAAAGCCTTCGATAAGGTCCAACACTTATTCATGATAAGAACTTTACAGAAAATTGGAATAAATGGTCTTTACCTCAATATAATAAAGGCCATTTATGACAAACCAACAGCCAGCATCATACTAAATGGCCAAAAATTGAAAGCCTTTACTTTAAAGTCGGGTACAAGACAAGGATGTCCTTTATCACCACTCCTATTTAATATAGTACTGGAAGTATTAGCCAGAACAATTAGGCAAGAAAGAGAAATAAAAGGGGTAAAGATAGGAAAAGAAGAAGTTAAATTATCATTGTTTGCAGATGACATGATACTCTACATAGAAGAACCCCTAAACTCCATTGAAATACTCTTAGATACAATAAATAAATTCAGTAATGTGGCTGGATACAAAATCAATACTCAGAAATCAATGGCATTCCTATACACGAACAACAAAATTACAGAGAGGGAAATAAGAGAAACTGGACTATTCACATTAGCAAGCAAAAAATGAAATATTTAGGAATTACTCTTACGAAAGAAGTGAAAGACTTATACAGTGAAAATTATAATACACTGAAAAAGGAAATTGAAGATGATCTCAGAAAATGGAAAGACATCCCTTGCTCATGGATAGGAAGAACAAACTTTGTGAAAATGGCCATTCTCCCAAAACTGTTATACAGATTCAATGCAATCCCAATAGAAATACCATCAACATACCTTATAGATCTAGAGAAATCACTCCTAAATTTCATCTGGAACCAGAAGAGACCTAGAATCGCAAAGGCAATTCTAAGCAGCAAAGACAAAGCAGGAGGCATCACAATCCCTGACTTGAAGTTATACTACAAAGCAACAGTAGTAAAATCAACATGGTATTGGAATCAAAACAGAGCTGAAGATCAGTGGAATAGATTAGAAGATACAACCACAACTACGAACACACTCAACCACCTTATTTTTGATAAAGGAGCCAAGCAGGTTCACTGGAAGAACGACAGTCTCTTTAATAAATGGTGCTGGAAAAACTGGCTCTCCATTTGCCGAAAACTAAAGCTAGACCCATGTCTATCACCATGTACTAAATTAAAATCTAAATGGGTCAAAGATCTGAATATTAAAACAGAAACACTAAATCTATTGGAAGACAAAATAGGTAGAAACCTTGGAGACATAGGAGTAGGTAAAGAATTCATGAACAGG